GACACCTAATTAATTGAATTCTAATTGTTATTGCCTAATGGGCCTTCTATTTCTAGTAGAAGTCTAGAAGATTAGTAGGAATTAGGAAACTACTCAAACTAGGAAGTAGGAACTACCAAACTAGTAGAAGAAATACTAGTTCGGGTCGGGTCGGTTTCGGTTTTCTTATGTGAAAACCGAAACCGACCTGAGATATCAGTTTTTGTATGTGCCCAACCCGAAACCGACCTGTACGAATGAAAACCCGGCCGACTCGGGTTGGGTTGGTTTGGGTTGGTCGGTTTGGTCGGGTTGGGCATTCTTATGAACAACCCTACAGAGAAGAGAAACTAGAAAGAGAAGATGAAGTTGAATGGAGGTGGTACTGCTAGGGGTGTCAATTGGACTTGTTTTGGTTCAATCCGATCTAGTCCAACATGAGTCCATTATAAATGGACCAGGTCCAATCCAATCCAATGGTTGTTTTGGACCAATTTTGACCGGTTCAATTCAATGTCTAGACCATCCAATCTGTTCAAATTCATTTTGATTTAGATTGGTTTCAACCCAAACCTAATCCATTGAACATATTCTTATCTTATATCAATGGACCAGGTATTGTTACGGACAGGCCAGGTCTAATCCAATCTAATAAATATTTTGGGCCGGATTGGTCCAATCCAATGTCTTGGTCCATCCAATCCGTCTAAATTAATTTTGGACTGGATGGGGTCCAATCCAGAACTGGTTCATTGACACCCTCAGGTACTGCCATAAACACAATCACCACTTGTCCTGCCACTAGAGTGTATGGGCATCCCAAAGTGCAAGCGAGAGATAGCCAATTAATAGTAGTTGATGATTGAGAGCCCATAGGGGTCTGAAAATGAAATGAATGGCCCAATATCGTTCCAGCCATTTGGTTCGAGAGAATGGGATTCTGATTTTCATTCCTAGCATTTGAGGAATTGGTCATCCCCCCCCCACCCCCCCTTAAAAATTGAAAAAATCTCATTTCACTCAGCAAAAAAACAAAAAAAGAAAAAAAAAAAACGTGACTTAAAAACCCTTCAAACCAACCTTCTTGAATCGGGATTTATTCTTCACAAAATGCACCTTACATCGACCTCGCAGCTCCATCCCACCGTGTATTGAGAACATCTCCCCACAAATAACAATATAAAAGTACGGGAGATGTTCCCGATGTGCAGCTGGGACTCTGGAATGGTATTCACATTTTCTAACATCGTTGATTGGTCATGTTGGCACCTCTCTCAACTCTAAATTAGGGCTACTATTTTTCATAAAAAAAATAAAAAAATATTAGTGTTGCCATTTTCGCACGGATCCGCTGCCAACACAAGTGCAAACCTACGGAACACTGGCGTGTTGATTCGTTGATTGGTCATGTTCGCACACTTATCCGGACTTACGTTTCTCTTCTCTCAACTCAAAAGTCAAAATTAGGATTGCTACTTTTCTTTTTCCATAAAAAAAGAAGGAAAGAAAAATGTTTTAGTGTTTGCCATTTTGGCGGATTGGGCCTGGTTTAGGGCCAAACGGCCCAAACCTAACCTATAAGAAATCGACTTTGGGTTAGGGCTGGCCCAACCTCTATCGACGCTCCATTCTCCCGCGTCTCCTCGCTTTAAATTAGGTCGAAGAAACAGATGCCATTCTCATATATTTTCTGAAAATTTCACTGGTGCAATTCGCGCGGTCGCGCCATCAGATCCTTCGGTGAATCGAGATATCGGAATCTTTTTCGCCGTCAATGCAAGAGGAATCCTAAATTTCCTGTGTTCTAACATTTTGCAAATAACCGATCTCAATTTGACGCAAGAGGAAACAAGTGGCAGAAGATCTGCTCGAAGATCAAATTCAAACCCTCCATTGATTTCGATGACGAAAGTCAAGGCAGAAAAGTAGAAAGAAGCGAACTAGAGATCACAGTTTGATTCGCATGGTATTTGGCGTTTTAGCACTCCTGGTTCAGGCCGTCGGAGTTCATAACCCTACAGTTCTTATGCCGTTTTCTGCTTCGAGTATGATGGATCTTCCTAAGGTGAGGAGATTTCTATTCTCTTTACAATCGGCACTCCAGTAATTTCGATTTTTAAACTTATAATTCTTTTAGTTTGGTGTGTTTCAGTTTCAACGTGACTACGTGAGCACAGGGAAAGCTTGTAGTGTGCAACTTACCAGCCACATGCTTGTCTTGTAATCCGCGACAGGTATACATATGTCATTTCCTAGTTCACGGTACAATTTTCTTTCGTCTAGTTCTTGACAACTTGAAAAATGTTTTCAGCGTTGCTTCCATCATCATAACTATAAAGCAAGATTGTATTTTCTTTTACGCTGAACCCTTTCCATTCAACATTATTGCTCGGTTTGGAAGGATTACAAATGCAAATATGTAATGCAAAACCTTATATTTTATACTATTTGTACCGTACTGCAAAACCTTATTATTTGTATTATTTCCATTCAATATTATTTTATATTATCGACATCAAGTGTTGCTTGACCAAGATTTGACCTTCGACAAGTTTCTTGAAATCGAAAGGGAACGGCAGTGGCTATGGTCTATGGAGGATAAAATTTGACAGTTCGAATAGATGTTCACACGTGCAAAATGATAAGTATATCATAACTCGCCATACTGATTTTCAGTTCATTCAATATGTAGCATAACGTTCAGATATGGAGGCTTAATGTCTTATATTTGTTTTAATTTGAAGGAACTGGCGATCTCAACTCTATGAGAACAGAGATGGACCTCCTGGACTAAACAGTTCATTCTAGATCTATTTAAGTCAATTGCACAAACCAAAACCTTATGTTCTCGCTGTTTCTTTATTATTTCTTCTGTAGATGTTTATGGAAAGTAAAATTAGACTACTTAGCTCATCTATTATTTTTTATGAACAAACCCTTGCTTCCCTGTCATGTCATGGTTTGAGTTCTCTAAGATTTTTGTCTAGATAAATTTGCCATGATATTTGGATCTTAACATGATTTTTGGTGAGTGTCTTGTTTGGGTGGTACTATTCGATTGATGCCATAGGCATAAATATTATGAATACTGTAGAATAGGTTCCTTACTTGCATAATTGGTTACAGTTAATGCTTAATTTGCATGTATAAACCAGACTAGCAAATGTGGAGAACTGATGTATGCCATGATTTTGATATAGAAAACTTGTTTTATTTTACTATCAATGATTTTTATATCACATGATTCAAGCATGAATTGAGCATGCTGCACTGAAGTGGATAATGTTCGGTTTCTTGAACACCTTGGGACTACTTGCCAAACACAATTGGCAATAGAGATTGTTAGGTAGATCAATTTGAAATTGTTGCCTTGAAGTGGATAATGTTTCCATACTTGAATATTTGTCAATGCAATTCTTGTAATAAACTCTGAAACTTTTTAGCTTTGCTATGCATTAGACGTGATTATCTTGCTATTGGTAGCTGGAGAAATACCATCTTTCTAAAAATCATTGTTGTGCCATCGAGCTGATTAGAACTAATTTGAGAAATAAATAATCTGGTTATCAACAATGTGTATGCAATAATATTGGCCTTTTTTTTTTCATTTTTCCAAAAGCTGTCCTTTGGGTTGGACAATAATCCGCACGCTTCACACTCCAATGATGTAAAATGCCATTTGGATCCAAGACATTTGATCTTTTTTAAAGCCAATTACATGAATTCCAGAGTTTCTGAAAATGAAAAATGATCCAGGAAAGGTATAATATGAATAAATATAACTTTCTTTAAAGATTTTATCTGTCAGGTTAATGGGCTTTGGAGTTCAACCAATGCAGGAATATCATATAATGGCTGAATTGCTTTCAAAATTTGAGATTCTGAATTAGCTACATTCAGAATTTACAGCCATGTGCTTAAACAAAAATAAAATAACAGGGAGATGTTTCCATACAAAATAAACCCTTGACAAGAGTGTTCTTGCTTGGACATTGGAAATGGAATTCAAATTCCTAGAGGTCAATCTGATTTTAAGTTGGCACATGGGATGGGATTTTTGTCTGAAGCCTGTGACTAAAGTCAAGCTCCTTCCAAATGTGTTGCTGGAGTCTCCTTTGATCTCCAAGGAGAGCAAAAATCTCACTGCAAATCTTGAGGCACTGAGAAGAGCAACCACCTCAGCTCTGATGAAGTTCCATTCCTTCTTTTTATGCATGCAATTTACTGTTTATGGTCAATTGCAACTCCTAAATTAACTCTAACAGTATAACCCTCTTGAAAACATCTTTGGGCCATTTGTTTGAAGTATTTAAAAGAATCTTATTCACTTGCAGTGCACCAGAAACACCACAGGGAATAAGATTTCCCACCTCTATGCAGATATTAGCAACCTCATTATGCATTGATCTTTAGGCCTTCATGACCTTAAGAGGAAGAATTTTGTACTAAATTGGAACACGTTACAGGGTTTAGAGGGTGGCACGCTTTAACACAGCTTTTGTCTTTTCCTTTGGCATACTCTTGTAATTAATAATTTTTAGAATATTTATCAAGAAAGTTAGCAGACTATCCAAGTGTACTTTGATAAGAGTATAAGACCACCTTGGTGAGACCAACTGACCATGAGCCAAGTCAATAAAAGAGGTCTCAAGTTGCATGAGCGCCAACTAATCATTGTTGCTTTTGTTTACCGGTCTATAGATATTCAACAAGTTCCCACAAATTTGGCCTTTCAAATTAAGGGTCGTACACTTACAGCAGCTTGTCTTTTGCGAGAAACTAAAGAATAAAAATTTGTTTCTTTAAGAAAAAACATAGGCTAAGATATCTAGATTAGATATTGAATATTAAATATGGTTCTATTTTGAAGGAAATTTTTTTCTGATATGCAGAAATTCATTCATTTTTTAAAGGGAAATTGTCTAAAACTCACCATGAGTTTTCAACATTTCCCTTAAACTCACACCTTTTCAAAATATCTAAAACTCAGCCATAAATAACAATTTTTATGACCAAATTACCCTTGAATGGCAAGTTAGAGAGAAAATGATCTTTTTCAGTTTTCAAATTTTTCTTGTTTTTTTTTTTTTTGCATTTTTACTGTTTATATAATTTTCAACATTTCTTATAATTTCTGTTTTTTTACATTTTCTATTTTCTACAATCTATAAATTTTTCCTGTATTTTTTGTTATTTATTTGTAATTTCTGTGCTATTCTATAATTTTGGTGTTTTTTTCCACAATTTTTATTTTTTGATTTTGTTTTTCAAGTTCTATAGTTTCTATAATTTGAAAATAATTTTTATTTTGTTTGCAATTTCTAAAGTTTTTATATTTTTTGTAATTTTTATGCTTTTATGTATTTTATGTTTGAAAATATTTTTTGAACTTCTTCCTTTTTTTCATGTCTAAATATCAAATTGGTAATATATTAACACCCATTAATTTATTTTGTATATATTTTATATTTTTTTATGAAGATTAAAAAGGTAATATATTAACACTCGTTAGTCTATTTAACGTCAAATTAGTGACATGGTGAGTTTTATACATTTTGAAAAGTTGTGCTAAGTTTAAGAGATGCTAAAAACTCCCGGTGAGTTTGACAATTTCTCCTTGTAGAAGATATGCTTATAATATGCATAAATTTGAGGTTTGGTCAAACCGTTAAAGTTTAGCAACTCAAGTCTCAGTAAGTCAATTATTTTAATTATTACCAAAATTTGGAGAACCCGTTTTTTGTTTATTACATCTCAATGTTGATTGCTAGCTAAAATAGAATATGTCACGATAATAGCCATAGGCTCCTCAAATTATTAAGGATGCTTACTAAATGCTGCCAAGAAAAAGAGAGTATGCTTACTAAATGGGAAAAAGTGAGGAATTTTCATCAACTTTTTTGTCTTTTTTGTGTCCGGTTCAACTGGACACTTGGGTTAACTGCCAAAGGCCTGTTAACGTTAGGAAGTTTTCGCCAAGTATGCTGACACCTACCGAATAAAATACTCAGCCCACCCATGCATTGACTTAAAAGTAATTTGTTATACTTCAACCAACATAACAATATAGCGGCAGAAATATAATGAAAAACCAGGAAAGAAAAAATCAGCAGACATGAAAAACAGTAAGTCAGGAACCGGTTATGGCATGTGAGCGCTCATTTTGGCCAAAATTCTGGTGGGATGAGGAAGTGCTGGCATAATCAGCAATCTTCACTTTCCTCGTCCAATTTCATTTAAGAAATGTAGATGAAACGTCAGTGTCAGTAGAGGCAGAATTTATGCTCCTCTCAGATCTCTAAAGCTTTTTTGCTCCCTTGGTCATCCATTTCGGTGTCCTCGGCCATGATGATCTCCATATCCCTGATATCTCGCTTTAGCACATTGCCAAGTCTCGCGATTGCCTCGGTCTGCTGTTGTAAGACCTGCCAACCAGAAAACGGGAAACAATCATTGCATCAGACTGATTTTGAACAATTAAAAATGGAGAAGTAGGCCTTTGGTCCATCACCCGTACCTCCTGCATATCTGCAAGGCTCTGCTCATGTATTTTGGTTGATCCTGGGAAGTAGATGGAACCACCACCACCAAGAGCATTTGCATGCACACGAGAAATAGAGAGCAGATTGTGAACCCTTCTAGACAATTCGGCCCCTGATCCTTTCAGCTGGAAGAGTCTTCACAGTTGTCAGGTTCCAGCACCAGATTATAGAACAAGAAGAGGAATTGGAAGCACAAGAGGCAACATAAAAGGGAGAAATAAGACCAACCTGTCTTGTCAGTGAAGCCAACTTCTCAGCCAATTCAGCCTCACCTTTCATTAGTGGCATTCGGCAACCCTTACCCTCCAAGGCCTCCACTATTCGCATAACCTTTCCTCAGTAATAAATACAATTATCAATAGAGGTGCAATTCAAGACTGGATTGGCATGGATTTAGGTCTATCCTAGCCCAACCCGATGTATCAAAATCATAGCTACCTAATTCACTACTTAGCCTATCAACTTGTGAACAGGTTCATGATGAACAAATTTGCAACTCAGGTCATTTTATTTGAAGACAAACCACTGAATTAGGTAATAGATTTTTTTTATAGATAACAGAACTTTTATTAATAGAAAGATTAAAAAGGAGGATACAACGGGAGGGAGGGTAAAATCTCTTAACCCTCCCTAAAAGTTTACTTCATATTACAAAGCTGCCCAGAAAAGAAAAGCTCTTCCCACCCCTTGCTTAGCCAAAGAATCTGCCAGGGAATTAGCACACCTTTTAGTCCACTGAAACTGAACTTCCATATTTTGAGTCAAATATTTAATTTTCTTTTTCTCATTTAAGTATTTCCACAAACTGAAGTCTTCCTTCTGCAGCCACCTAATAACCAGACTCAAGTCACCCTTCCACCACCAGTTTTTTTATATTCAGCTGCCACGCTATTTTAATTCCTTCCAACACTGCCAATATTTCAGCCCTCAGAGAATCCCCCCAACCAATAGGCCCCGAATACATTGCAATAATTTGACCTTCTTCACCCCTGAAAGCTCCACCTAAACCTGAAGGACCTGGGTTTCCTTCGCTGCTTCCATCAAAGTTCAACTTAGTGTAGCCCAAGGGTGAAGGAACCCAAACTGGAGAAGGGGTAGATTTCAGGGGAGCTAACCAAGCCATTTCTTTCCAGTTATGATATCTCCTGCTGTGTAATCTGCAAAAAGCTGCAAGGTCTTAACCCAATGAGCCACCCTAATGGAAATTACTTCAATGATAGCTTCCTTATTTCTTTCTTTTTCAAGGAATATTCTTTGATTTCTTTCCTCCCACACTGTCCAACATATTGCTGTTCTTACACATCTCCACAGAAATTTACCTCTTTTTTAACCCTCTCACTAGTGTCGTGTTAAACAGGCTCTGCACACTTGGAGGAGAGGACCGCCTGCAACCAAAGAGAGAACAAAACCAGCACCAGATTTCTGAAACAAAAGGACAGGAAACCATTAAGTGATAGCAGCTCTCACCATTCTCCTTACATAGGATGCACCCATGTGGGGACAAACACCAATTTGGCCTTTTCCTTTGAAGTAAGTCGCAAGTGTTAAACTTTTCCAAGAAAGTTTCCCAGCAGAAAGCACCCACTCTGGGAGGAATTGGTCTACCCCAAATTTCCAAGACTGGGAAAGGGTGCCTTAAAGCCGGTTGGGACTGGGTTAACTCTTTGAAAAAGGAAGAGCAAGTAAAGACACCCGAGGGGGAAGGAACCCAAATCCTATTATCCCTACTAGAAGGATCAAAAACCACCTCATCTAGGATCTTAAGCAAATCAGAATTGGTGTTCAACTTGAAGTCTCTAAGAGCCCTTCTAAAGCCCAGGTTCCAATCAGGAGCAGACAAGGTAGGGGATATAAAGGTGGAAACAGGCTCATTTTTAAAACGAGAGAGAGAGAGAGAGAACAAAGCTGGAAATTGCTCTTTCAAAGGTGAGTTTCCTACCCAAGCATGTTCCCAAAATTTCACAGAATTACCAGAAAAAACGTTGTACCTGATGTGCGAAAGGAATGAGGGTAAAATAGCATGGATGGACTTCCAAGGGGAAGCTCTTGTAGCCCTAGATGAGATTCCCGCATCCCAGCCGTCCGCTGCTTGCCCATGGACACTTAGAATTACTTGAGCCCACATACTATCCCTTTCCTTTGTCAATCTCCATAGCCATTTCCCCTATAGGGCTTCATTCTTTTTCTGTAAATTACCCAATCCAAGCCCTCCATCACCCTTGGCTTTGGTGACAATATCCCACCTAACTCTATGATCCATTTTTCCTCCCCGGGTTCCCATAGGAAGTCCCTCATTAATTTTTCCAAAACTTCGCACACTCCCACAGGAACTTCAAACACAAACAGGAAGTAAACAAGGAGATTAGCCAATGTGGACTTGATCAAAGTTATCCTACCCCCCAAAGACAGGTAGTTTTTCTTTCAAGACGCTAACCTTTTTGTGAATCTATCAATCGCCGGATTCCAGAAGCTCCTTTTAGTCGGATTATCCCCTAGTGGAAGCCCCAAATATTTCAATGGCCGCTGTGCGATCTCACACCCCAAAATTTGAGCCCTTTCTTCCACTTCTCTCAAACTCATATTGATACCAAAACACAACTTTTATCAAAATTCACTTTAAGGTTAGTCACTTGTTCAAACACCTTGATCATCGGTTTGAGATTACTCACCCACCTAATCTCATCCCCACCACAGAAAAGGATAGTATCATCCGCGAACTACAAGTGTGTGATTGGAACACTATCACTTCCAATTCTCCAACCTCTCACCAAGCTCCTGGAATCTGCCCTTTCAATAAGTCTTCCCAGGACTTCAGCAATCAAGGTAAAAAGGAAGGGGGAAAGGGGATCCCCTTGCCTAATACCCCCAGTAGCTGGAAAGTGGTCAATCAACTTACCATTCACCAGAATGGAGTATTTTTTTTTTTTTTGATCAATCACCAGAATGGAGTAATGGCAAGTCCTTATACACCCTTCCACCCAATTACACCGCCTTTGTCCAAAACCAAAACACTCAAGGACTTCCAATAAACAAGACCAATCTACCAAGTCATATGCCTTTTCTAGATCTAGTTTACACACCATCCCTTTCTTCCCGCTTCTTTTTAAATCTTCCACACTTTCATTTGCTATTAAGATTTGATCCACAATTTGTCTATTCTTCACAAAAGCACCTTGATTAGGGGAATTGATTGCTGGGAAAACCTCTCTAATTCTTCGAGATAAAACCTTAGCAATGATTTTATAGAAGCTATTCACCAAACTGATGGGTCTGAACTCTTTTGGGTGGCAAGATCCCTCCTTTTTTGGAATTAATGCAAGAAAAGTAGAATTCAGACCTGGATTAATCACCCCTCTATCAAAGAATTCAGAGAAAACTCTTTGGATATCCTCCTTAAGTATCTCCCAACAATCTTGATAAAAGGCCATCGTGAAACCATCGGGACCCGGAGCTTTAGATCTATCCATAGAGAAGATGGCAGCCCTTATTTCTTCCAACTCAAACTCACTTTCCAACCCCACTTTCAACTCTTCAGGGAGCCTAGGCCAATCCAAACCTTCAATTTGAAGCCTGTTATTCAGGGGCCTTCTAAAAATAGATTTAAATTCATCCACAAAAGCCCCTTCAATCTCAGTCTGCTGAATTAGAGTTATACCATCCACCACCAACCTAGAAACTTCAACTGTAACCCTAACTGAACCCAAGGTTCTCAACCCTAAACCAACTTGATCATCAGGTTGGAACCTTACCTACTAAATTTACAAACACATGCAAAAATACAAACTGCAAACTATGGCCAATCCTTGATAGATCAGGTGCCAACCCCATTAAGGGAAAGAATAAACAAAAACCAAAAAGTACAGGAATAATTGGATAACAATAAGATTGCATATACAGTTGCAAAGGTGATAGAGCATCTAATAAGAGATTTTCTATTGGAACCAGGAAAAGAAAAAAGAAAGATCACTTAGTAAATGGGAGGTAGTATGTAAAGATACTTTCACTGTGGGTATGGAGGCTTTTGTGGAAGCTGCGTGTTGGAGGAGAGCGCTAAAGGAAGAGGCAAAAAATCTATTGTTGGAGGAGATGAAGATTGGTGGACAGGTTAGCTTGAAGGTCAGGAAAGCTAAAATGGCGACAGTTCTGCTGATGGGGCTAGAGGTAATCAAATGGTTTGGAGATTTTATCACGGAAGCTGGTCTAAAGGAAAACAAAGGAGTTGGAAGGAGCTATATACAGAGACAAGTAGAAGATATGTGGTAGAGTGCAAGGGAAATAGCAGAGGATCATTCATACCATTATCAGAATTTTTTGATAAGGGCAGAAAGCAACTGGTATGATTTCCGTAAGGGAAAAGAGGCCAAGGATGGCAAGAGGTTGGAAAAATATTGACAGAATTTGTGCTTCATTCTGGAAAAACTGAAGTTGAAAATAAAGGAAAGGATGATAATATCCCCCTTGCTCCAAACAATGCAGCAGCCCCTAGACAGAACATTCCAACTTTGTCACTTACCACAAGGAAATCCACATTGCTGGTTAAGTCTGGAGAGGAAGAATGAACAAACAAGTTGGTAGTGGAAGCTGAGAAACCAGTTAATGACTGGACAAGAGTAGTTGATATTTTGATCAAAGAACCGAATTTAAAAGACACGTTTATCTTAACGCTGTTTGAGAGGTGCAAAGCCTTGTTAGATCCTGAGGATATCCCCAAAAAAGTAGATGTAAGAGTTGATGGCAGCTTCAGATCAATCTGGTTAGCTTCCTCCATAGAGGCTGCATTGTGGAAAGATGCTCGTAGGGAAGATGAACAGGTGGAAGACCAAGCCCTACATGGAGCAAGGGATTGGAGGGTCAACCAAGAAATGGAAATTTCACAAAAACAGACAGGCAGGACCTGGTTACTTGAAAAGCAAGGGAGAAAGTGGAAAGTCAGAAACATGTACAGCAAGGAAAAAATCTGGAATTTGAAAGGTCATTTGCCCAATAGTTGTAGAAAGCACCAAAATTAATTCAAACTCAGTGGGACAGGTTCAAGGAGGAATACGGGGTATTGTAAATCAATGGGCCAATGTTTGGGGGGATATGAATTGCTGGGCCAGGCTGAAAAGGGAGTATCCAAAAGTGGGCACATGCAAACCCAATATCACTCAGTTGGGCTGCATAAGCCGAATGGACCACCAAAGCTAAACCCAGATCAGCTTGGAAAGGAAGGAATGTCGAATGGGCCTGCCGTTGCTGGCCCATCTAGAAAGGGGCGTGACTTGTTAGAAAATCACGTGACTTTAGGAACAAAGCTAATAGACAGGAGGGACCATCTATCTTCTTCCCCC